TATCAGACCGCCCACGCACACACACACACACACACACACACACACACACACACACATTGATCAGTACACCTTGATCTCAAGATAAGAGTGCTGGAGACACACGCGCGCACACACCTGGTCTAGATTACATATCAGCGAGCAAGCGCAGGCAGGGGTTGACCTACTCACTCTAAACGGCCAATAGGATTACGAAGCGTGAATTGTTGTACCTTTGTTTAGGGCGGGCCGGGCCCAGCCAGGTGAATGCATTGTAAAAACCTAACACAGGGTTCAGACAAAGAATTCCTGTGGGAGCTCTGTCTTTCTGATCCCAGCGCTCCACCTGTCCTCAGACTTTCAGTAAACTTTCTGTTGATTTTAAACAGTCCTCTCCTGTCTTCACTTCTCGTGCTTCCAACAAAAGAATTGGGTTAATTTCTAACATATGGGTGGTATTAGTACTTTTACTTTGGTAAAGGATGTGAATACTTCACAGCTGACATGTAAACTAATATACACTATATTGATTAGTTATAATGTTAAAGTTAGAGGTAGTGATGGGTCCGGCAACACCGATGCGTTGCCGCATGCGTCGAGGTCGTAGAGCAAAACCCCGTTTCGGTGCGTGTATCGCTTTAAGAAAGTCACGTGACCGATACAGGAACTGTTTCGAACTGACACTGCCGCGCCAAACTGTGTTTATAAGGAAGCGCATATGTGAACGGGATGGATCTGCCAAAACTAATCTCTGATCTATTGCGGTTCATCGTCACATTCATCAAGAACTATGGAGCAGCCTCAAGCCAAAAGAAAGGTTTCCGCCGTGTGGGACCATTTTGATCTCATAAAAAGGCAATCTACCCAACCCTCTTCCGACTTGCCTTACAATTTCTCTGCACTCCAGCCTCATCTGTGCGTGTGAGTGGCTGTTTTCTACAGCTGGAGAAGTTGTATCAAAAAAGCGTAACAGACTCAATTTCAAAACGTTGGAAAAACTAATTTTTTTGGAATAAAAATTTGTAAAACAAAAAAATCCCAGTCCACAAGCATCCTCATTCACAACACGTTCATTTAGATTTTCACGTTATGATGCATGTTCACATTATTTATTGACTGTATCTAAAAATATCAAGGAAATTTTAAATTTAAATGAAGATATGAAATAATACAATATAAAATACAATGACTTAAATTATATTATTGTATATACTAGGCCATCAAATCAGTGTCAGTTGAGTCTGTCAACTAGGTTGCCTGTAGGGATTATTAAGGTCCAGCAGGTGTCAGTATTCAGTGACACAGTATCGACACAGTATCAATACAGTTTGACAATGTGTCGAAACGCTTCATGACGCCTCATCTACCCATCACTACTTGGAGGCTTTTCATCATATTTATAATTCTGTTCATTATTAGAATTCTGTCAGTTCTTGAGGACCTAGCTCTGCAATTACACATCCAAATCCAGCTCGACCTACTGTCACAGTCAGTTGCAATTAAAGAAAATGTTTGTTCAGACAAAAAAAAAAAACAAAAAAAAAAAAACGTTTTCATTCATTTCAGGGTCGTTGTAGCTAATAGTAAAAACAAATATTATTTATAACTTTGAACTACTGTTATAATTTCTGAAACAGTTATCATACCGTGGAAAAAGCATACCGATTTAATTCAAGGCATTGATAAATCCCTAAAAGGTCATTGACAAAATAGTCACCAACTCTTTATGACAGCTTGTTTTGATGGTTCCATGCGCATATCAGCATTCAGGATAAGTCGCTTCAAATAATATAAAACTGGTGGACTTTCGAGTTTACGCAGCAGGTGAAACCGGTCGAACTATGACCATGTGTTAGCACACTCACTTTTTGCACTGTGACTTCGAGATAGTTCAAATTAAAGTTAAACCTGATAGTGTGCTGTGAGCTCTGGTCACACTGTAAGTATTCAAAGCGGAGTCAACAGATAATTTGTCAGTTTGCTAAAGTTTATGCAGTCTCGCGTGGTCCTGTCAGCCATGTTTATATCCAACTAAAAACAGTGAATTTACTCACTGTTAAGTCATAAATTTTTCCAGCGGTGGTGTCTTGCTAGCTCGATAGCCGCTGATACAAAGACAAGCAGAGGAGACTGTAGCACAGCTTACTTGGTACTCCATGCGTGGTATCTGAGGTGCCGTCTTGGTGCTGTACTTTCTGAGTAAAAGACTCGCCAACCCGCACGCCCAGTCCCGCTTTCGGAGCTGCGCGGTATACACGGAGCCCCACTGCAACACGCACGACATGCACACCATGATGGGACGTAGCCATGTCACAGGAAGCGGCAACCAAATATGGGAGGGTCTTTTCACGGACGTAATGACATCACTGACCAGCCCCCTCATTTTTACAAACGCTGCTCAAAACATGATTTGCAGGTTATTTTTCTTTGAATGTGAACCTGATTTGTGTCTATATAAGATTTAATCTCTTCTTATCACATCATTTCCATTTTGTTGCCTTGTATTTGAGACACTAACTCCAAACAACATGTATGACTGAATGGAAATGTAAGTCAGACAATTGGTAGCATTACCACAATGCTTAAGAAGGTGAAGAGAAACACCCAGCTACATTAAAACATTAGTTTAGCCTTTCAGGAAATACAGTGTGCATTTTTTGTTTTTCTTTTAGAATATTGATACCACTCTCATATCTGTCTGTTACATATAAGGCTACAGCCAAACACTGGTTAGCTTAGCATGAAGACTGGAAACAGAGGTCAGCAACTAGTTTTGCTTTAAAGCCTACCAATTAACATTTGAAAATTTATTAAACTCTTCCAAAGATTAGCAAACTCTTCCAAGGAGGTATTTAAGCCTGCTCCTGCCTCAATCCAATCTTTTGACAGGCTCATGAGTGGACTACAACACGGAAGTGGGTGACATGGTTGCAGGCTAGTATGTGACAGAGTTGGAAAATGTTGTTCTTAATCAATCAATTGCTGATTTTAATTCAAACATTAGTAGAGGTTTACCCTCAGCAGCAAATGGATTGATCCCAAGGAGGAAAATAATGCCATGGTGGACACAAGAATGCACTACAGTGATACAAGATCGAAATAAAGCATTTAAGGTTTTGAAAAGAACACTCAGTTATGAGAATTTAGTAAGCTATAAAAGAAAACAGGCAATTGTAAGGTACGTTGTAAAGAAAACTAAAAGAGAATATTGGAAGAACTATTGTGATACTTTAGGTAGAAACACACCTATAGAACAAGTATGGGGTATGATTAAAAAGAATGTCAGGCGACAGGAAAGTGGTTGAACATTCGGTAATGAAAGATGGCAAGATTGTGAAGGTAATTTGTTTTAAAAAAGGAATTCAGAAGTTCCAGTCAATCTTAAATTGTATGGGGAGAAACTGGACAGAGTAGATTGTGCTGTGGAGACATGAAGACAACACCAGTTTCGACCCTACAGGTGGAAATGGGTGAATTACCTTTGGCCTTACGAAGAGTACAATTGGCACTAACTTACTGAGCAAACTTAAAAGGGCACAAAGGGGGTCATCCCACCAAAAGACTACTGGAAAGTTGTCAAGAAAAAGAGAAAGGTCAGCAGAGGAGTTTTGGATGGATGATAGAAGGTAAGATTAGTGAGGCAGGCTTGGAGGACAAACAGATAAGTCCTGCTGTTTCATTATCTGTGATCCCACCTTGGGTGTTTGCTGAAGTAAATATAGATATGAGCTTTTTAGAAATAGAGAAGAAGGACAGTGTGACACAACGTGAAGTAATTGGATATATAGATAAAAATTATGCAGCATTTCTTAAAATATATAGATGCATCTAAGGCAGTGAATGGTAAAATTGGTTCAGCATTCATTATACCAGAATTAAATGTGAAATCAAATAAACGAATCAGTGATAATCTCCCAGTATACACAGGAGAATTAATAGCTATTGTACTAGCATTAGAATGGGTAGAAGAACATAAATCATTGGAAGTCCTGATTGAATCAGATTCCAGCAGTTCTTTAGTGAGTATTCAAAACATCCAGTCAAACTCAAGGCAAGACATAATACTGGAAATAGCTTGTATACTATTCAGATGTCAGAGGGCTGGAATAGATACTAGGCTAGTTTGGATACCAGCACATATTGGGGTGGAGGGAAATGAATTAGCAGATGAATTTGCAAAAGCTGCAGTTAAAAAAAAGAAATGTTTGCGTGGAAGTAAGTTATAGTAAGGCTGAGGTTAAGAGTTTGATTAAAAAGGAAACTGAAAGAGAAATGGCAAGAACTGTTGGATAAAGATGGAAAGGGTCTGTTTTATTATAACATTCAAAGGAAAGTAGGAGAAATGAGAGCAAGAACTGGAACTAAGAAGTATGAAGATATGATATCAAGACTGAGATTTGGGAACACAAGTAGATTGAAGATAATCAAGAAGCATACTACAGGGGAATGTGAGATATGTAGAGTACATGAAACAGTGGAACATGTTTTAACGAGCTGTCCCAGGTTCAGGTGGGAGAGGGAATTGTTTAAAAATAAAAGGTGGTGTTAGGTATTTTTAGTCAGATAGATATTGGTTAGATACTTTATGTATTAGAAATGTTTAGATAGGATGTCTAGTTAGACTGTTAAATGCTTAGTCATGCTTATGAGTTTCTACAGGGTACATCTGGTCAAGGATAACTAGAGAGAAGAGTTGATGACTGTCAGCAGACAGGGTGTTTAATATTATTATTATGACGTGTATAACTGTAGCCTTAGCCATAATATGTTCTTATGTTTAAGCCACGACATGTTACTAGAGGTCGTGAGAATGTTTTTAGCTACACACCACTTAACCAACAGACACACACA